TAATTTTTTGGGGGGCCAAGAAAAAAGGCATTGCTATTAACATCTCTTATTACAGGGGCTTTGCAGTGTATGGATTACACATAGGCATAGCTCTGTTTCAAAAATATAACATCTAAATATAAGTAATACATGAAGATAAAATGGAAGTGCTAATCATATAATATTGTATTTCTATCACAAGGGAGCGATCATAATTATTTATACACACCTTTTTTTGAAGCAACGACGTCAGAGCTGCTCGAAATGGTATTTTAATTCGACATTATGATGTCAACATTTTGGAAACAATACCATCACAGATTACCTTTTTTACATTCTGCGCAGGTGACTTGCAAAATCATCATCAACACCATCAGCTAGCATTTTGAACGTATACGTATACGGAACTTTGTAAATTATCTTTCCAGGTGTGCGAGGTCTTTGAACCTTTTGAGTCTTGCGTACTGAGACTCATAGTGCAAAAAGAAGAAAATTAATCTAATAATGTCAATGGAAAATTTATTGCACGTCACGTCTCAGTGTTATTTTGGTCCTAGACAAGTACCTAACTATATAAGCGATGAAAGGAGTAAATTATGACGGTAATTCGTCTTGACAGATTCAATTGATAACCGGTTTACACCGGTAATGAAGAATAAATGACATACAGCGCGATACCACTCTGTCGTAAAAACATGTGCCTATAAAGGCCTGTCTGTTCTATAGACATCGTATCCAGGCTTTGATTTCGTTGCTTGAACGTACTCAATGCTTTTGAATGTTCTTCGACTGAAACATCCTGCAACAAGTCAATTTCCGTCAATTACGCGTGACGAAACACGACGTCAAATACTTTGACAACACCACACTTAATTTAAAACGTCCATTTCTCTTGAACAAGAAAATCAGCAGCTGGCTGAACATGCATGACTTATTTGAAAAGTGTTCAGAGACAAAGGACACGCAGTTTTCACGATTTGAATCGCTTTGCAAAATATCGTCTGAAGCTGGCATACAGTGGCACAACTCAGAACGCGGTAACACCACACGCAATTGACGCAAACTGGCTTTGTTTCAATCTCGTGTATACCAATTTGGCCAGTTGCATTGGAAGTCGGATCGACACCTCAGATTAAACACCGGGCATTTTTACCGCAACAGGCAACAACAATGTTTATACAGATGGAATGTTACAAATTCATATTTTAAGTCGGATAATCTTGCGAGTTTGTTAAAGCTAATAAACAGGCACTGAGTGAGACAAGTGATACAGCAGGCCCAAGGCTTTGCTAAATTATACCTCATTGAAAATATTAGTACATTAAGCATTATAATTCATATATATTACATAATTAAATTCTAAATTGCCTTAATTTCCATATTAAAACTTTCAACTAAGTATATCTAACTCTCTTTCAGAATCCTACATATAGTTCTATATAAACCTATATATATAGTCCAGCGGAAAAGTAAAAAATCATGCACTTTGTGAAGAATTAAAGCATCCAATTCACAGGAAGTGTAGACTTTAACGTGATAATGAATCTTAGATATGGAGGCATCACCAAAATTGATGATGACGGCTTAAAATTTAGGATTTCTTATATTCTCTTATTAAACTCTATAACTGTTTAAAATTGTGAAATTGCAGGTTCACATATAGCAAAAATGACTTGCATGATTAGAAAGCTTACAAAAAACTATATATAAGACTTTTAAACGGCTGATTGATTTTCCAAGCGGTTTTCCAGTTATTGCTATTTAAAAACGTGATAAATAGGCAAAAATCCCGCCAAAGTCCTGGACACCAGCCCTAAAACATATTTTCAACCGCTCATAACTCCCGAGGAGTTGGAAAATCAAAGTAACTGCTTAAATGTCTTATATGCAGTTTTTTGTAAGCTTTCTAATGATAGTTAATTATTAATATTTATTATATTTAGGTCAGAGCCCAGTGTCTGAACCACTAACTAACGGGGTTGGCTTGCGGTGCCATATATGTTAAAATATGCTTTATATTCCAGCAAAAACAGTGTAAATGTCCAAATGTCACATATCAAGACTCAATGAATTTACCGATACAAGGAAAAAGTGTAAGTTGATGTCCAAGATTTAAAAAATATTGTCAGGCAACTGTTACCGGTTCTTCCAGAATATTCCAATCTTTAGAACATTTATGTTTTGATCTAACTTTATTAATAATATACATGAAAATTTTTTTCGATTCTGATTGGCTAACCCTTTATAGCCAATCAGAATCGAAAAATTTTCTCATGGAAATACAGTGGCAAAAAAATACAGTGGTAAAAGAGGAAACACGTGGCAAGGCCAAAACAAAAGATATTTTGACTGATTTAATTAAGTTTTATCTTATTCGAAAGTTGAAAACTTGTATTAAGTTATGATGTTGTGGATGTTACTCTGAGTGCATATCCACATCCACTGATCTGTACTAAGACCAGTGGATAGGCAGGCTGAAAAGTTTGCCTGACCACGGTGGGAATCGAACCCGCGACCTGTGGGATACTAGTCCAATGCTTTGCCAACTGAGCTACGAGGCCAAGTTAACCTGAAGTTCAGGCCCTAATCACAGAATAGGGCCTGACACAAAACCTATCTAAAGTGTGGGATTCCCGTCCACCTGGTGGACGGGAAATCTGATTGGTTGATCAGCATCATGAAGGATTTTGATTGGTTGCAAGTTTACATAAACAACAGTTTTAAAAATAGCTCGGTCAAGGCGACAATTAATTTATTTATTTATTTAGCTTTTGCCAACTAGCGCAGGGTCACCACAACAGCATATGCCAATTACTGTGGGCCCTTTTTTTACCTAACCCACCCTGTCAACTTTCCCTGTGGGAGGAAACCGGAGTACCCGGGGAAAACCCGCGGCTTTCGGCAGAGCGTTGGCTTTTACTCTTTTCACATGGGGACTGGGTTCGAGTCGCACTGAGAAGGTACTTAGTGAGACTCGAACCTGCAACCTCAGAGGTGAAAGGCAAGTGCGCTAACCACTTGGCCATTAATATAAAGGTCAAACGCACGTACAAATTCCATTATCGATTTCTTCGAATTTCTTTTTCTTTTGTGATTTATGGCAGAAAATAAATCAAACAAACAGTATTTTGAAAGGGCTGTATCAAAATTTTGGACGACACGACGCCGAAAGAACAGCCAAACTAAGTCATGTATTCGAAAGCTTGTTGTTGACAGCCAAGATGTTCTGCCAACTGGTTTCGCCGGCAAAAGTCTTATTTTTAATATCAGGTCCTACCGGCGTTGTTTTCTGAGCTACATCGCCTTCTTCGTGGTACGATTGAGAATTTCATTGTTGCTGTTGTTAGCCCGTTTTAATAAAGTATATCCCTAATATACGCGTCCAGCAAGTTGAGACCTTGAGAAAGCTTGGCAGTCAAGCTGTGCACAGAACTGACTAATTAAATCTTTGTCTGAATCTTATTAGTTATATAAAAGTACCTTGAATTTTTAAGTTTAATTATAAAGCAAAATGCACACTCTGCGGACATGTTCATGAGAATATAATTTTTTTGTGTAACCACAGCAGCCCAATCTCGCAAGGGTCAGTATAAATGTATATTATATTATATTATATTATATTAATGTATATTATAGTAAAAATATGTCGTAAAATATAAATTTTAAAATGAAATTGACTTGCCTATTTGATAGTGTGTGTTCTCCTTTTATTCCTCCTTTGTTGGACTAATATTTTCCGAGACTTTGTACTCGATGTTACTAGTATACATGAAATATCATGTTTCATGTATACTAGTAACAAAGTCTCGGAAAATATTAGTCCAACAAAGGAGGAATAAAAGGAGAACACACACTATCAAATAGGCAAGTCAATTTCATTTTTAAATTTATATTTTACGACATATTTTTACTATAATATACATTAATATAATATAGTATACATTTATACTATAAGTCTATACTGACCCTTGCGAGATTGGGCCGCTGTGGTGTAACGAAATCTACAACACTTGTCAATCATGTTGCGTCTAAAAATAACATGTGGGCGTCCCACGGTCTAGACAGGTTTTGTGTCAGGCCCTATTTCAAATTAGGGCCTGAACTTCAGGTTAAGGCCAAGTCGACTGTTTGAGTGTGTGGTATTTCGGAACTAAGTCTAGTACCTTCGATACCAATGCGTTCTATGATCATGATATTTTAAGTTGTATTAAGTTGTTGTCAAGAGCGTAAACCCTGGAGGCGGGCCGGGGGGGGGGGGGTAAAAATACATTGTTGGGTAAAAATACATTCAAATCATGTCAAGAAAGAACAGGAAAACCTTCTCCAATTTGACGTCCAGTTTCAGCAATTTGCTGTTCTGATACACGTCGTTTTCTGATCATCAGAATTCGGTGAAAGTGCAAGTAAAGTTCACACTTTTCTGAGGGAGCATGCCCCCATACCCCTCTGGGGTCTCGTGCCTTTGGCACTCGATACGTGTGCCTTCACTGCATGAATAATTGTCCCTATATAGGCCCGAACCAAGTCCACTGTGAAGAGTAACGTTACATACTTCATGCCTACTCCTGCGATGTAATTTTTTCATGTATTATTGATAAGTAATAGCACATGATTTTCTCGTCCAATTTGGGAAAACATACACTCGTAAGTTTTCAAAGATTTCAAATTCCACCTGTCCGTCGGACTATAAAGTAGCACGATCTGCAGGCTTTGCAAAAACCTGTAGAACCTATAGTTAAACCTAAGGCCGTCGGAAGTAAATCAATATTTGGGGGGGGGGGGCAAGAACAAATATGAATTGCTTTCGCAATTTTCTAGTTCTTTTGTGTGTGTTTTCTTATACAAATGGAAATTATTGGGGGGAGGGGGGGGGGGCTCAAGCCCACCAGCCCCCTCCCCCCCCGCTTCCGACGGCCTTGAAACCGTTTGCATATCACAAGCTGTATATAGATCCCAATGTATGCATGCGCAGAACGAAGTGTGCCGCATCTTTTTTAACAATTTCTTTCTTAACGCACTAGCTTGAAATCTTCAAACAAATCCGTGATACAGCGGCAATATACCACAACTATCTCCTCAAGCTTCAATCTCCTGCACCGGTACCCAAGAAACAAAAAGACTTACAATTCAAAATAACACATTCGCTTCAAATGACGTATCGAACTGTTGAAGGGCTGGTAAGTTAGACTACGTAACTAGTAGAGATTCATGTTGGAAATCCTTCACAAGTTTGGTTAGCGACCGGTCATAAACTAACTACTAGAGGTGGGCCGGAGGGAAAAATAGGTTTTCCAAAAAGACCCGGTGGCCCATCCTGAGATCCTAGAAAAAATTTCAAAGCCCATTGAGAACATTTTCAATATATAAAGCTATACTATATACTATATAATATAATTATATATTATACTATAATTATATACTAATTCTATAATTATATACTATGCTATAACTATAATTATAATTATATACTATATAATTATAAATTAAGCTCTACCAATATTGGTGTTGAGCACTCTATAGAATCATATATGAGTAGAGTGCTCGATATACCTTCGAAGTATAGAGCTATAATAAAGATAAAGATAAAATAAACCTGGTTTACTTCATAAGATTTATTCACTACAAAGTACAAACTTTGTTTCGTATGACAAGCAATGCTTGACACTCATTTCTGATAGTTTTAAATAGTTTGAATTTAGAAAATGATTTGCATAATATCATTATATGTAACTCAATTTGATCGTTTTTAGATACTCAACACTACGACAAACAGTACAGCGAAGACAAGAAGTAATATAAGAAAAAATATTACATGGAACAACAGCGCATTGAATTCAACTCGAGCAACCAAAATATCCAAATGGATTTATAAAAAACTCCAAGTAAGTTGCCTTGTGGTGGAAATAAATAACAAAATCAGTCACGCAATACAATACAACGCAACACACAATATAATACATTATTATATAGTAGAGAGTGAGATACTGAAAAATACACAGCGAGATATTTTCCATATATCTTCACTAGTGAAGATATCGATCACGTGACTTTTTCCCATTTGCTTTTGAGCGTGAAATTTCACAATTTTTTGCTTGGGACTATATAATAAACACAACTTACAACGCGGTGGCTTGAAGATATGACTTTTATCTTCTCGTGTTAAAAACAATATTTTACTCACTCGCTGCGCTCGTTCGTAAATACTAAAGGATTGTCCGGCTTCACCACTCGAAGATAAAAGTCCCATATCTTCGCGCCGCCTTGTAATATCCTCTATATACAATGCAATGCAATGCAATCAGAGGCAATTTTTTCAATGTGGCGTACTTGCGATGCAAAGTGTTAAAAACCTAAAATCTTATTGGCGTTCCTCTCAAAATTACTTTGTTTAGCTTTATTTTGTGGTTTACACAGTTAGCAACCTTTTGAAATGCATCTTGCGGTTGAGAAACACAAAATAATAGTTAAATACAATTATCATTGATGCCGTAAATTGACGCCATCATTTATACATCAATATCATAATAATAATAATAATAATTTTGCAGTCATGCTATGCAATGAAATCCAATATAAAAATGCTAAATATATTACTTTCCACAATTTTATAGAATACAAGCACAAGCGATACTCTCCTATACCATAATACGAAATATTATTTCACATTGTCTGGACTGGCAAGAGCAAGTGAGAAGATAAAGAGAGCCTTGGGTAGCTTTATAATGGGAGGTACATAAAAAACTCAAATCTAACTATTTATTTCTCAAATCTATTTATTTTAATTTCGCTTATTTTTTATCAGTAATGGGCTAGCCGCCATTTTGTAATTTTCGATCGGTTTTGTTATATTCACCTGTAGGTGAATATAAGCTTAATACGTCAAATTTGACCAATCGACTTGCGGGATTTGTTATACTCACTTGTGCGAAAATACTAATTAAAATATTTCACAATTATTGAATGAGATTGAGCATGATCTAGCCTGCGCGCAGACTATATAATGACGGGTATGACTAAAGGGAGAGTTACAAACCGGAGAGTTATCTCGGAGAGTTATGATTTCGGAGAGTTATGTTCGAACCACGCCCAAACCACGCCCATTTTCCCCAACGACCACACCCAGACCACACCCACTTTTTTAACTCTCCCGACGTTTCCTTGAACAACATGAGAGAGTTATGTTTGACGTAACTCTCTCTCGTTAACATTATGAAGATGTTAGAGAGTTATCATTTTTTATAACTCTCCGCGTTCGCGATTTTGGCAATGAAGAAAATAGTATGGAAATCCAATATTCATACTAATTGCAATTTTCATACTATGGATCTCTTCCTTGCCACAATCGTGAACGCGGAGAGTTATAAAAAATAACTCTCTAACATCTTCATAATGTTAACGAGAGAGAGTTACGTCAAACATAACTCTCTCATGTTAGTTCAAGGAAACGTTGGGGGAGTTAAGAGATTGGGTGTGGTCATTGGGAAAAGTGGGCGTAGTTTGGACGTGGTTCGAACATAACTCCTCGAAATCATAACTCCCCGAGATAACTCTCCACTTCATAACTCTCCGTTTAGCCGGTCCCTATAATGACATATATAGTCTGCGAATCCATGGCATGAAGCTTGTATGGTCACGTGAATTTCCCAAGAAAAGTTGGGACGAATTGTGATTGGTTGAACTATAATTATGCAGAATTAGTGTTATATAATTCATCGGACATTGCGTTCGCAACGCGCGTTGGCTGTTCAAAATTGACGGTTTCCAAGGTCAAATGACTCAAATGACAATGTTTATTACAGTTGTATTTATAGAAGTGTGGCGGATAAACAAAAAAGGCCGTTGTTTTCAAAACGGAAAGCTCATTTCGCCAAACAGAAGATGTAATAATATAGATTTCTTCTACAACGGCCTTTCTTGTTTATCCGCCACACTTCTATAAATACAACTGCAATATAAACATTGTAATAATAAATAAAATGATTATTTCCTAAGCCTGTGGTTTGATGAAACAGTGTAAATCTATATTGTTTTTCTGGCAAATCCATGAACTTAAAAATTACATTTTTCTCTTTTGTAGGAAACATGCCGCGTAACTGTCATGGTTCAGGAACGAACGGACCAAAGAGTGAGTGATAACTCTCCTTTAAAGGCAATAAAAAATTAGTTTAATTCATTTGAAACAACTCTTAAAACTATATATTAAACTCTATTACAGAATGTTTATATCTTGCTTAGTTTTCAAAATATTTCGAACGAAAAAAGCGGGCTGTTTGCCATCTTGGATTATTGAGGATATGCATGTTACGTCAAGAGAGGGGTCACGCTAATTTTTTATCTTGAGAGTAAGCGATCAATATGGGCCCAAAACTTTGTTTCTGGTTGCTGTCGGAAATTTGGAAATGTTTAAAAGGTTCAAACAATTTTGGATTGTTACTCGGTCATTTTAGAGTAGTTTTATATGGTTAATCGGTTTAATATATAATTTTAAGAGTTCAAATGAGACAAACTAATTTTTTATTGCCAATGACCTTTAATTTATATTTCGACTTATATATATATATATATATATAAACCTGCCCCCCCCGTCGCCAAAAAATTTTCGGTCAGTGTATCATTTTAGGGGTAAAATATTTTTTCCGGAGTACAAAATTTTCAATTCGCTACTTAGCCCAAGAAAACAGATATCTTGTCCTTTGCGCGGAAATATTTAACACACAAAAAAGGCTGGGGCCCAACAAAAATTTTTCAGGGGCCCCCAGCAACACGGGGCCGGGGGCAATTTGTCCCCCCTCTCGGCAGCCCTGTATATATATATATATATATATAATTACTATTCTTACTTAAAATGTTTTTTTGTCTCTACTCCGAGTTTCACGCATCACTGCGATCATCAGGAGACATTGTTCTCAAATGATTTGAGAACAATGTCTCCTGATGATCGCAGTGATGCGTGAAACTCGGAGTAGAGACAAAAAAACATTTTAAGTAAGAATAGTAATTACATTCGCTCTACAAAATTTTATGTATTGAGCACTCTCTTCACTATACGTTACAAAACTTGTGATATATATATATATATATATATATATATATATATATATATATATATATATATATATATATATATATATATATATATATATATATATATACACTTTTTTTAAGAAGGAATTGAACCCCTATTAAATTAAGCGCTATTTACCATAAATATGATATTTTAAAATCATACCCTCAATATGAAGCTAGAATTTATCGTCTGATTTTGATCCTATATATCTTCTAAGATAGTAATATTAAGTATTAATTTAGGTTCGTTGTCAAATTATTCTGCTCTCCCGAAGACACGTTTTTGTCTAAAACGTCTATGAGGTATAATTGACCATTTGCGTAATAGACTAAATTTTGATGTAGACAAGTCTATACAAAAATTTCATCACAGCTTGAAAGAGCATCACAAAATTAGTAATATTCCAAAGTTTCGTTGCGAAATGTTGTGAAATGCGGAAAATATAGCCTTGCGAAGCTTGCAATTTACAGTCATTTTAGATTACAAACGGGAAATTGACAGCCCGATACGCTTTGAGGCTGTCAATTTCCCATTTGTAATCTAAAATGACTGAAAATTGCAAACTTCGCAAGACTATATTTTCCGCATTTTACATCATTTCGCGACGAAACTTTGGAATATTACTAATTTTGTGATGCTCTTTCAAGCTGTGATGAAATTTTTGTTGAGATCAAAATTTAGTCTATTACGCAAGTGGTCAATTAAGTAGATACTTTTTAACTCAAACGTTTGAAAGTATATCCCCTTTTCACGGTGAATACCCGCGGCTTTCTCCCACAAGGAGTGTTGAATAGGGTAAACTAAAAGGCATAGAAGTAGATTCATCAAGCCCGTAGCTGGCTCTCTCAATTTCTGGGGGGTACTGCAGAAAGAATGTAACAAAGGGTTTGAGATGAGCGGTTGAAAATTTTTTTTCTGACAACGCCTCCCCCCCCCGTCGACAACTTTTTAGGTAAAAAAAAATTTCCGGACGAGCACATTGCAATTGGTTTCCAGGTCCTTTACCTCAATTTTTCATACCAAATTTCGGTACTTAGCCCCCCAAAAATAACAGCATTAACAGCTATTAGTTCTGCAAAACGTAAGGGGGGGGGGGGAATAATTTCAATTTTATTTCTAAGTGGGGGGCACTGCCCCACCGAGTGGGGGGGGGGGATTTTATCATAATAATAAATTTGCGGCACTAACACTAACCCTAACCACTAACGCCAAACCCTTTTTTAACTTTTTTGAAAATCTAACTTTTTAAACTTTTTGCTTTTTAAAACTCTTTTAAAACTTTTTTAAAAACTATTTTTTTGAAAATCTTGAAAATTTCTATATATTATTCTTGTTATATAGTATTGTGCATTATAATATGGCGAAACTACTAAATGAAAATAAAAATAATAAATAAATTTATGTTTGCTTAGTTCCCCCATTGAGACTTTTTATATAGTTTATTTTATTAAAATTTTCTAGATTCAACCATGAGGTTCACGAACGTGACAGGTATGTTTGCAATGCGTTATTTTCAAAAAAATCATAGTTCACTGACTTTGAAGCCTGTTCTAAACGTCGCATTTTACACACACCAAATGCATTCAAAACAATGGATAACGAGGCATTTCAGTTGATTATCTATTGTTTTGAATACATTCGGCACATGTAAAATGCGACGTTTAGAACACGCCTTACATGTAAAAGGTCTATAAGTACATAATACTCTTATGGTATTACTGTGGACCAGCTACACGTCTGTTCTATATATAGTATATACCTCTTTCTAAATGACAAGTGTGTATTGACTACAAATTAAACGTTTTGTAGTAAGCGTTCGCTATTATAAACTACAGCTACGTCAAAAATATGTAGTCAACTAAAACTATATACTGCTACTTTTGAACAATAGTAGTTCTCTACTGACCACAGCTACTGCTTAAAAAATGTAGCGGAGTATTTCGCTATTTCGCTACGCAAAATTTTTTAATTTTATACTGTATTTAGAGCAATTTAGAGCATCTACTAGCTCAGGATGTAGTGTAACCTATATAACAAATCGACTTAGAGTAAATAAGATGGCATGCACTTGCACGGCATATTTTATTTATGCAAATTGAGTATTGATTTTAAGCAAACCGTGTCTCAATATCATGCTATAACCAGTGGCGGAGATTCACTTTTTCCCCGATGGGAGGGCAAAGCCTCCTAAATTTCCGACAAAACTTTCAAATTTCCGACATACCCCCCCCCCATTTGCACTCGAAAAGACTATTTTTAGCCCTCTTTTAGGTCAAAATTTCCGAAAATTCGTCAATTTTCCATGAAGGTGGGGGGAGGGGCGGACGCCCCCCGCCCCACCAAGATTTCCGCCACTGTCTATAACTACAGCTACTGTTTTGAAAAAGTAGTCAAAATCTACTGGCTACTTGAAAATTGTAGTTCGCTACTGCATGCAACATAACCTCGTGTATACAACGCGTTTCTATACTGACATGGAAATAATGTAAATTGTATGAACATCTTTCAAATTATACACTGGGGAATTTAAAACTCTTCTATAATGCGGCAGTTTTCAGAAATTGTTTAAAAAAGTTTGAAAATTCAAGGTTTTACACACTTCATAGTATGGAAATTTTCCAGAAAAAGGGTGGAAATTGTCTAGAAAACCTATAGGAAACAAAAGTCGCTACGGCTTCAAGATCCATGCCATGACAACTACTTTGATATTTTAAACCAAGCCAGCTTATAAGACCTTTTCTGCTGTCAACACATGTCCGTAAATATCTCGAAAAGTCAGTTTATCAATATTTATAGCTTTGGCCATATTGAAAATCTCGGCTTTAAGAATACAGTCATGTAAAAATTCAAAAAATGACGATTTTGACCCTCCCATTGTGTCTCGTAACCTTAAAGTGCATATGACACGAAATTTCTTATTTTCTTAAAGGTGATCTACAGTCCGATCTGCGCATGTGTACAAATGAACCCACTTTTTATGATACAGACAGTTTAACTATGTTTTGAGTTCTTGAAAAGCCTGATTGTTGTTTCTTGATCATTTATTATACTCTAGAAGCTTGAAAATATAAATAGTTGTCGAATAAAGCTCAATATTTTGGACACAAAAATGTAAACAAAGGCTTTGTTTACATACGGACTGTAGATCACCTTTAAATGAAAGATATCTCTTTAAGCTGTAGTGTAACTTATTTTTTAGTTTCTTGATTTTATGGTTTGTTCCAGAGGTATTTGAATTTGTTTGATATGTAAATGAGTGTGAATATGTCCGCTAATATATGACATCACTTTGGTTGCGAGCTCAACTTACACTGGTTATAAATGTATTAACTCTAAAAACTGTGGATATCAGTTCACGTTTTTCTCCAGTGTTTCATCACATTTACCAGTGAGTGAAGTTTGAAATTATCATCTTGGATGATTGCAGTGATATTCAACCATTTTGAAGAGCTCGCAACAAAAGTGACATCATAAATTAGCGGACATATTCACACTCATTTACATATCAAAGAAATTCAAATATCTCGGGAACAAACCGTAAAAACAAGAAACTGAAAAATAAGTTACACTACAGCTTACTGTCGATGCAATGGAAGTGTTGATAAAATATTGCACCAATTCCTTTCCTCAAGTTGATCAATTCATTTGATAGAAAATTGATCAACTTCCTGTTACTTTTAGATGCTTTTAAACGCACAGGAAGTAAAAAGAAATTTGAATTCGTATGAATTGATCAATTTGAGGAAATGAATTCATGCAATATTTTATCAACACTGCCATTGCATCAACAGTAAAGACAATAAAGAGTTCTTTCATTTACAGTAAGAGAATAAGAAATTTCATGTCATATGCACTTTAACTACTATTTACTAATCATGTGCTTAGTACTATTTACAAACTAGACAACTAGTGAACCAGTGGATAAAATCATTATTATCATGATAAAGAACTAATCATAAATTCTATTCTTTCAGGCTGAAAAGTTCGAAAAGAACAACTTTAAGAAATTGTGTAATTGTTTGTTTGTAAGCTTTAGAAAGCCAAAGGTAGGAGTTAAACGATTTAGAACTAAATGAAATTTAGTTTAAAAGTTACATAAAATGTACGAGTAGTTTCTTCAGAAAAATACAATGTTAAAACATAAATTAAAGTAAATTAAGAATCGTACCGGAACTGGCTTGTTAACATGTTTTGTATATTCAGATGTAACAATTCTGGCTGTCAAGCTATGATGATTTCTTTTAATATTTCATACTTATTAATGCAGTGCCATTGGAAGCAAATTGGGGGAGGGGGTGGGGCTCAACCGACGGGGGAGGATAAAGCGTTTTTAAAGCTTCAGAAGAGCATTTCAAACGGTGTTAAGTTTTTTCATTAAAAATTCAAAATTTTGTAATGTAATGCACTTTATACCTTTTAACAACCTCTTCTCCCAGTTTTGAAACAACGTTCGCTCTGTATGGTTTTGTTCCTGTAGATATACGCACAATGTCAATGTATTTCGAGAAACAATTACAACGGAGTACAATCCTGTATGAGGACCCCCGCTTCTGACGGACCTGTTAATTGATTAGTTGATTTTTACTTGTCTCTATTTTTTTCCCAAATCCTTACAATGGAAATAGCGTTGGGAATAATAGTAGGGTAATTCATTTTCTACTACTAATTGTCATTTCCATATCATGGAAAAGCACGGAAATAGTGTGGATATAATCTGCCTCTGGACTTACGTCCGTATTCTAAAAGCTCACTCACATTCAACGAGTGGAAGTTCAATCTGAGCTTCTCTCGAGTGTCAATGCTGTTTGAATAGCTAGAGGGTTAGTGTACGTCGTACCTTACTATGTGACTATTTACCCTTCAGCTATTCAAAAACAGCATTGACACTCAAGAGAAGCTCAGATTGAATATCCACTCACCGAGTGTGAGTGAGCTTTTAGAATACAGGCGTTAGTAATAATGGATTTGCCTATTTTGTCTTTGATCTTGTAAGTGTAATGACATGTATACAAAACATTAAACAGCCAGTTCTATGGGGTACGTTCTTTAGTCGTTATGACAACTTGCAAAGGCATATGAATAAAAGTAATGCAATGTTTTAAAGAAAAAAAATTGGACAAGGTGTTGACTCAACGTCAGTTCATCTTCACGTCAATTATATAGCCAGGTGATCTGACGGTGAACAAAAGGACTGGGACTAGCAACAGAACAGAAATCCAGTTTAGTGCTTTTAATCACTTGTCACGCCCTGATTCTTTAGTGAAACTGTTTGAAACTTTGTGTTTGTGTCTTGCACAGGGAAATGAATATCTGGGACAAATTTGAGATAGAAATCTTATACCGTTAATGAGATATTGAGCAATTTTAAACCACAAACGGATTTCTGTTTCACAACTAGTGCCAGGCCTTTTCGAGTTCCAAGATCACCTGGAGTGTTATACCACACTAAAATCAGGTTATGATGTGCAACATTTGAAGTTTGAAAGTAAAGGCTAAATTTCAGGACGAAGTATTTAGTTGCAGCAAAGAACTAAACCCAGAGACTAGAACCAACTTGGTCTGGGAGGCCATGATTGTTCATCATTGACATAAAAACCCTATGTGGTTTAGCAAAAAATTTCGTTCGGAATTCGCCAGGTTTAGAATTAAGTTTAACATCACGGAAGATGACCAACGTTGGGAACGAACGTTGTCCAATAAATTTTTCTAAGAATAATAAATAATTTTCCAAGTTTAGAAATAAAATTAATATATAAGTTTATATAGAGTGATGCACCGGTCAGTGGAAAGTTTCCTTAGGTTTGGAGCATTGAATTTTCCCAAAATTTGAAGTGGTGTGACCTTTGCAATTTCTGATCATAACTAAAGTGACAAAAAGGTCAAATTGCCGCTTTAATAATTTTTCGAACAGTACATCAACCAATGGCATGTGATATTTAATAGCATACTGAAGGGCTGAGGTTTTCGACAGGGTGCAAGACTATGTTTTGTTGGGCGACTGCAGATGGCTTTCCACTGACTGGTGATCTAGTAGTAAGTCATATGATGACAATTAGAAGGATTTGATACCATATGTTTGCTTCTAAAGTGACTGTAAAATTTAATAGCTATTATATTTCCTTGGAATTTTTTCTTGTAACTTTTAGTTGCCAAAGATTTATTAAATTATTATGGATATTATAAAGACTAGTTGCAAGTAATTGACGTTGTGATCCCCGATGCAACTTGTGCATAATTGCTCATGATTTATGGCTGCCGCTTTCCACCTAGCTACACTATAATTTTATATTAACTATCCAATCAAAATGTTCCAACAGAAATGGCACTTGACAACAACAAGTAATAACAAGCTTCGCGATTTTAATGTGAACATTAGCCGTTTTCACATTAGAAGACGGACAAGTCGTCTAGACGAACAAATCGTCTAAAAATCGTCTTTTAGTCGTACAAATCATCAGATGTGAAAACGTGTCGGACAAAATTTTAGACAAACAAGTCCCAAGTCTCCGTCTCTAATGTGAATAGGGCTAAGACATCTGCGATATGTCTGCGACTGCTTAGTGATTTTATGTAACCTTAGCTCGCGTACAGGCCCACCGAGGGGGGAGGGGGGGGGGGCGGGCTGTGAACTAGGCTTAATTAATTCACTGTTTTCAACCATAGCCCCGGCTGATTGCCGCTAGTCTGTCGTGTAACTTCAATTACAATTTACAAAATCAGACACATGCAGTCTTGACAGTAAAAATTCAATAACGTGTTATAAATTTATTACAACATGTTTCTTTCTATACAAACGGAATACTAAGATCATGCAGTTTGAGGGCACCTATACACTTTTCTCTTTTTACACACGAAGGTTGAAATAAGATTATTTCTCACCGTACAATATAATCGAAACCTGGGCGTGGTCCAAATAGGCAATTCCAGCTTTTAGTTTATGCGTGTAGGAGGTTGATTATGTTGAAAAAATAAAACTGGTGGCCGTGTAAACACGGAGTGACTATATTGACAGGTTGTTTCGGCAGTTTTTTATTGAAATTTTTCAGCATAAGCAGTAATACGATACCTTACTTCCCATCACCCCCTGCGCTCATAAATTAAAAGTTGGAACTGCTTATTCTTAAAGTGCAACGCCACTGTGTTTTTGTTGGAAGCGGGATAAATTTCTCTTGAGCACAAACTAAACGCTGACTTATCCAATGTTAACGACTGGTTAGAAGCAAATAGGTTGACATTGAATGCAGACAAAACAGAATTTATGATAATAGCCTCAAAAAGAAAACTTAATCAATTTCGCACTGATATTCGTATACATATAAACGGATCCATTATTAAACAAGTTAAGCAAAAAAAAAACCTTAGGTATTACAATTGATAACGAACTAAGGTGGACTGAACACATTAATGAGCAATGCAAAAAACTTTCAAGTGCAATAGCTCTGCTTAGAAAAGCAAAACCACACGTACCTTACAACGACTTACTCCGTATTTACAATTCCCTGGTAGTTCCTTACTTTACATACTGTTCGACAGTTTGGAACGATGGAAACAAAACAAATTTGGAAAAACGTTATAAATTACAAAAGCGAGCCGCTCGTATAATTACTGGATTAAACTATGAAACAAGATCAAAAACAATCCTCCAGAGTCTAGGTTGGCATCCAATTAATAACATTCTTAAAAAAAGAGAATTTCTAATTACGTTTAAGGCTATCCGAGGTATAGCGCCGGAGTGCATCAGTAATATGTTCTCCTACTGTGATAATAGAAGTCACCACATGCGGAGCAACGGGCGGAAACTAACTCTCGATAAACCTAATAGATCATTTATGAAAAAGTCATTTTCATATCGAGGAGCTTCCGCCTGGAACTCATTACCTAACGAAATCTTAGACGTTTACGAACAGTTGACGATACATTCTTTTAAAACTAAGCTCAACAATCACCTACGTTGAAAAAAAATATCCAATTGTAAAGACTCCTAGTCAACTACACTATTTTGTAAATACTTATACTATTTTGTAAATATTTATTTTGTACTTTATTTTATGTAAACAACCCCTTTAAAAGCAGCGTAGGCTGAAGGGTTATTGTTTGTAAATAAGTTTTAATAATAATAATAATGAGGAAATGCCATCCCATTTGCCGGGACAATTTCGTTGTTTTGACAGTTCAAAATAGCTTGCAAGTGTTTCTATGGAGAAATCTTCATCCCGGTAAGTGGATCTCGCCTCTTTCAAGCGAGACCTCGGCAACCGGGCCAGCCATAGAAACGCATGGTAATTTTTACCATAAAAATAACTACACAGGGAGATTTCGCTTACCGAACCTGTCTCGCTAAGCCGGTCAGCCCGGCTTCTATATAAACAGCCTCTTAGATATGTAATGTGGTGAAAACAATCGTACAATGGCAAACTTTAATTTAACCTCCTCCCCGGAACGAATTGGCCCCGTACACCTAAAGGACTGTCTCTAAATCTAACTGAATGCCTTTAAGGTGATTCATCAGTTTTGCATTGCGCACTTTTACAGCGCATATCTAATAACAAAACCTAGTTAATATTGTTAATATTAGGCCAAGTCTAAACGCCGCATTTTACATGCGTCGAATCAAATACATATTCGAGTCGACTTGAATTGACATTTTTCAAATTTTAATTCAGACGTCGAATTTAATTGTCGAATTTAATTAATTTGCAAAGCACGTCAAATGGCGCCAAATCCAAACTATACATGGCGGATGAAGTTGTAAGAGAAAAAACTTTGCGTTTATGCCTATCAAACATCATTCATGCCAACAGAAAACGACGACTGTTAATGGATATGGCAGTAAATAACCTCTTGGCAAGGAGAAGGCAGAAGATGCATGGTGCTTCTTATTTGTCAAGTATTCAGTAGTGCGTGGCGCGTGCGAGTAAAACCCGATATCTTGAAAAATTCCAAATAAATGTTTCTTCTCGCCGTATATTCACTCTATTCAAACGTAACTTTGTAACATGAGAGCGCTTGAATACATTTTACTTCCATGGCCTTTGAGAGAATAACGAAAAGTTTAGTATTCAGAATGTTTGGCCAAGGGTGCATGAGTAAATGTATGATTGTTTTGGAGTTTGTGTAATGTTTTAACGGCATTTGACCCTCCGTTTAAACGGGTATTTTGTGAGAATTTCAATGGTGGTTTTCGTTTACTGTAAAAGGGAGTAAATACTCGCTGAGATATTTACATTATAGAAACAATTGAATCATAATACTGTAATTGCGATATATCATATATGTCGAGAAAGAGTTGTTAAACAAGCGTATTTCGTCTCGATTGAACAAGAAAAACAGTCATCAACTTCGGCCATGCTTGTTGTAGCTGTATATACGCCTATCTGCGCATGTCGTTTTGCATGAAACCGTGGAGTTATAGGTAATAATATTTTAACATAATTTATGCATTAGATTCGACTCATGTAAAATGCGGCGTTTAAATCAACAATCGACTTTTAGTCGAATATTCGACTGAGTCAGTCGAATGTTCGACTGAAGTCGCACTTAATTCAAACCTGTCGAATTTAATTGATTTAAACGTCGCATTTTACATGCATGTAATTCAATAATTTGATTCGGCGCATGTAAAATGCGGCGTTTAGACCGGGCCTTAGCTAATTAAATATATTTAGTTGAAATGCAATGTAAAGTGTTAAATAAAAAGTAAGGGCAAAGAGAAAAGCACGCTGCATTGATTAGGCGTGCTTCAGGAAATATAACAGATGCTTCCCAAAATAACATGTCTGAGATGGGAAAATACATCTTTGCACCACGACAATGCACGTCAATGGTTGTTGATTCGCTGAAATACCATGTTTTCTAGTATATAATCAGTAGATAGACTCAGTATAGGATCCTTGTTATAGGCATCAGTATAGGATCCTTGTTAACACATAAATGGGTCAAGATAGCGCCATATGGGTGAAGAGGTGGCATATTGCACTTGTCATATACGGTAGTTGAAACGAGTTCGGTAACCCTGACTATTTTCTTCTTTTTTTACTATGAGCATATTATAAACTTCACCCCTGGGAAGTTTTAGCAAATTCTCATTTCCAGAACAATTACTGATGAATCAACTTAACATGTACATAAATCATATTGTCTGAAATGTACATAATGCTTCTTAAACATCCATGTTTGACTGTTGAACGGCGATGAGCTGATGGGCTACAACCAGGTCAGCAGGCAAGACTATTTCCTGGCCGTCTTGACCAGCTGCAACAGCTGTGATGGTGATAGATTCACCTTGCTCTCCATCGCCAGAGTCAGTAATGTATCTGCAAGACGAACATAGCGGTTATTTTTATATACCTTCTCACTGGCATCAATAAACACCACACAATATATATTTTTCTTCAAAAGATTTCACTCACGCGTCTTGTAGACTTCTCTCAGCGACAACTTGCTCGTTGTTCTCCCCATCCTTAACCTCGTCATCACAATGTTGAACCAAATGTGCGTTGCTCACCATGCCATGTTTACCATTCTCAATACCATCACCTACCATTTGATCATCATCACCAACTACACCTTGATATACAGGCGAGGCCAAAAAAAAATATGTGGGTTTCCGGTTTCTTCTTATAAAAACTTAGGTAGGGTAGCCGTAGGTCGGTTTTAACTTTTTTTTTAAACTTTTTTTTAAAATTTTCCGAACAACCGGACGGCATTTTGTTTAGTCAGTGCTTCCACATCCAAAGATAAATTTCCCTAATATTGCCTCAAATTTCAATTTTCCACAAAGTTTTTCCTCTAAGTGGAAACGCTTACAAGCATGATCCAATAAAAAAGTTTAGGGTCGGGATTTCGACGTCCAAAAGCTAGGTAGGGTCGGGAAACCGGAAACCCACATATTTTTTTTTGGCCTGATAGATATTCAGGTAAAATGTATGGTGAAATAAGGCATGGTGTTTTGTGGTCAAAGCGACCATGAAATATCTCCTTACAGAAGAAATTCTACTATACAAAACACAAAATTTTCAAAGCTTTATAACCCGCGACCTAACTGTCCAAAAAGGATGGACTTTGAGGATAGACTAATTTCAGGGTCGTTTTGAAAACCTCCTTCAACTGGACGGCGATTGTCTAAAGAACGAAGCAACTTCATTCGTCTGAACACAAAAGCAATTGCTGAATGGAGCTAATGAACATCACTGTTCTGAAAAGCTATACGTACCTGTAGCTACCCTAACTTGAGCATGAAAAATTCAATTCTGGGATCCATTTCCCCGAAGCATCAAGTTGAAAAGTTGGCAACATTGAATACATACCTTCACCATCAACGCCCTCTTCATTCTCAAGTTCTTGTTGTTCCATTTCCATCCCACTACTCCCGTCACCTTCATCCTTCTTTAACTCTTCCAATGTGATATTCTTATGATGAACATTAGCCATATGCAACAGGTAAGGTTCATCTTCGCAGAACGACATATAGCATACATCACAACGACGTCGAATATCGATATTATGGTGTTGTCGCATGTGATGAATGAGAGGCGCGGTCTGCCTGAAAGCCTTCGGGCAGTGCGGGCAAGGCCGAGGTTTCTCTCCGGTGTGCGTCATTGTGTGCCGACGGAGAGCCGAACGGTCCCCGAAGGCTTTTCCACAGGTTTCACATTTGAATGGCTTTTCGCCAGTGTGAGTGCGCATGTGCACTTTGAGATCTGTGGATCCTCGAAATGCTCGGTTACACACCAAGCAGAAACGAGGCTTGGTTGTGCCTGTAATGAAATAAAATAAACATCCTTTCATTCATGCTCAAGTTAAATTTAAAGCAAATAGTAAACTAAAACAAACAAACCTGTATGAATTTTGGCATGACGAAGAAGCAGCCATTCTGAAATGAATGAGGCGGCACACTTGTCACACTCATACTTCTTCATTTCATCTCGTCTGGCATGAGCAATTAAATGTTGACGCAATTTCCAAGATTGTTTAAATTTCTTGAGACATTGATCACAGCTGAAATCTTTCTTCTCATCCTTGCCGTCAGATTCCTCACCTTCCTCAGTTGCATTATCATCATTCTCAGCTGAAAAATAAAGAAAATGTATTGAACTAGAGGCCGGGAATGACAATGAATTGCATGCGATCATGTTTTCCCCATTCTGTTCATGGGCGTACAGGAAGGAAAAAATTAGGGGGGCCACCCGACTTTTTCGGATTGTGCCCGAGTTGTCAAAAAAATTTTCCGGAGAAACTTTCCAAAATTGTTGTCAATGGGGGAGGAATGATTACGAATAATTCCTATTATATAGCATATTTCCCACAAAATTGACAGAATTTCCCACAAAATTGACAAAATTTATTTTTATAATAAGCCAATATTGCCAGACTGTGAAGCGAATATTGCCTGACTGGCTTTGTTTGCCCAACAAACTTGGGGGCTGCCGCCCCCTCCGCCCATGATTCTGTTTATAATGGACTTCCAGGGTTTTAATTGTCTGAACTTGGCAGCTCTGAAACTTATTAAATACCTTGTGTGGCAGGTTGCAGTTGAGGAAGATTGCTTGTGTTTCCTGTTGCTGTGGTAGGGGACACACCAGGTTGTTGTTGGGACATGCTCTGTTGCAACATTCCCATTATGGCGTTAGCAAATACTGGTGAAAGATTGCCAAGGTTTCCACCAGAGCCAAGTTGAAGTGAACTTGCAATGGAATCTGTGGTTTGACTGCCATCATTGTTGATCACAGCCAGAACAAGTTGTCCATTACTTGTGTTGATCAGCGGAAGCTGAGTCGGCAATGGCTCTTCCAATACTGCGGTAAACTGTATAATTATACAAATGCATTACAAGTGACTCAACATTTAACTGGAAACCCAGATATTTTTCCATGTCTTTATGCTACTATTAATATATTATTTTAATCACTTACAATCTCTTTATCCTCTGCAACATTAGCAACTTTATCATCAGGATCAACCATCGCTCCTTCAGATTGAGTCTTAAGATATGATATTTTGATGTCTTCATCTGGATTCTGAAAAATCAAAGTGTCAGTGAGATCTGGTGGCTTTATTCAATTCTAAAAGTGAATCATTCCAGAAAAGATCTGCACCCCCCCCCCAAGGAAATTTCTGACATCCGGCTTCATTATTCAGAAATTTCTGACATTAGGCTTTCTCACGGCCAATCAGTTGGTGGGGAGGGCGCCTCCCACCTTCACGGAAAATTGATGAATTTTCGGAAATTTTGACCTAACGGAGGACTAAAAACAGTCTTTTTGAGTGCAAACGGGGGTTTGTCAGAAAATTGGGGTTTGTCAGAAATTTGGGGTTTGTCAGAAAATTCACTTTGCCCCCACCGGGGGGGGGGACAATTCACTTTGCCCCCCACCGGGGGGGGGGACAATTCACTTTGCCCCCCATTGGGGGGGGGGCAAAGTGAATTTCTGTCACTGCAGCCAATTTTGCCTCCATTTTTGGGGTAATGCTTCTCCCACATTTGAGTGTCTCCACACCACAAAATACAACTTTTTAGTATTCAGCTGTTGGTATAATGGTAAATTTACAGTTACAACTGTCGCTTTTCACGTTGTTTGAAATGTCTAGAATCTTTCACGAGGGCAGACATTTTGGCCTTCGTGAGAAAGGCTAATTGATCCAGACAAGATTTGCGAAGACATATTTCCAAATTTGTAAACAAGCTATTAGGAAGTTTGCTTTGAATTTCAGGTTACAAACCTAGGGTTGGCTTTATATCGGCTTTTGAACAACTCAACTGGCCCCAAGATGAACAAAATTATGCAAAAATATCCAATGTACACAGCCACAATTATTTTTCGCCCTTTCTTCTATGTATAAAACCTCCAAAATCAACGACAATCAATGCAAAAGAAACACAAAAAATAGCGGGTCAATTTTATAGGTCAAACTCATTGGCCAAGGAAGAGACAAGACACTCGACAACCATGGCATGTATAAATCATTATCACAAAATATCTGTCGCAAACAGCCAAACCCACGACAAATACAAAACACGAAATGCTATACAAAGCATAAAAGAAGGTGTGAAATCACAATAACATCGACAAAAACAATCGCCAAAGGTAAATAGAACTGTATTTACTACCAAGTCCAAGGTGATGTAGGTACTTTGAGCGAAACTACGAGGTTACAGTAGGATAATGGCGCAATATACCTTGTTGGTGACTTTCTTGAATTTTGCGACAGCTATTTCGCTCAATTCTTTCACGGTTGTATCTTCGCCTGTATCACAAGGAACTAAAATACGAGTCTCCCCGAAACACACAATCACTTTCATCGCTAATTTCAGCTTTACTCTTTCGAAAAAGATGGATTTTTTGCAAACAAAACCAAGACCTTCGAAGGTACAAAGGGAGGATACGAGAACACGCGCTCGAACAACGCGGGGAGCATCATGGGTAGCTTGGGATCTCATTTCAATAAGAAGCTTTATCCAGCTTGCTTTTGACTATGCTTTTGAGATCAGTGTCGGTCTGTCGTGTTTCCATTTTTCAAAATTGTAAAACTTTGATGTCGAAAAATTAGTTTTATTCCAGCAAAATACGATTAAATTCTTCCCTTTGCCAAGAAAATTAGAAATAAGCATATTTAGTAGTATTAGAAATAAGCATATTTTGACCTCTTTTAAAGAAATAAGCTTTTTTTATAAGTACTTTATATAAAAAGGAAGCGAATAATTTTTCCTTCACATTTCATTTGGATTTTTTAAATTTTTTTCGTTTGTGCCTTGTGAAATGTTAGATACCATCAATATCAAAACAAAATATTTTCTTAAATTTACCGTCAAAGTCAAAGATTGGAGTTTTTTCGTCTCTTCTTGCCAGTTAATTCTTGCCGAAAATTCAAAATGGAAACACTCTTATTTTTATTGCGCACACGTGTTGTTTATTTTGATTTGTTTTTTTTTACGAGAATTTGATAGATTTGTACTCCATAATATAGTTTACATTATAAAATGAAGAAATGCAATGTTTGTAAGTTAACAGAAAGCAAATACAGATGCCCAACGTGTAGAATTTTGTAGTAAGTTTATAACTTTTATAAATAGTTCATATATATGTTCAGTTCAGGTTGGAATTTCGAATTGTTCAATATTGCAATAAACCCTTGATACAGTATTGACAATTATTTCCTTGGTCTGTGAACCTCATTCTCATAACTTTTGATCCAATGACTTTTTGTCTTGAAGCACACAAGTGAGGTCATATATTGGACAGCTGACAAGAGTCTGACCTCTTGTTGGTGCATATGATTTTGGCATAACTTTGCCATCTTAGCCAGTTTATATGATATGAGAGGCATTTACCCCCAGAAAATATTCAAAATGGTGGACGTTCAGGTGGTGAATGCCTGTCGTAAGTGCACTGACTTGGAACATGACATGAATGGGTCGTTCCAGAAAAGATCCACACTCCCCCACAGAGGAAATTTCTGCCGTCCGGAGGAGGAGGGGAGACGAAATTGTATCTGATAATAGTAAATGTATTAGGACATCCAAAGGGGGTAGGGGGGTTAACTTCCAATTTCCTCCGTAGGGGTGGTATGGATATTTTCTGGAATGACCCAATCATATGTGGCAGTGTTTATGTTTTTTTGGCCGAGTCAGACTTCTGTAAAGGCAAAGCGACCAATTTTAATCATGTGAAAAATCAGTTGCGTGGGCATGCCAAGAAAGTTGAATGTGGTTCTACTTTCATGGCATGTCTGCGAGCAGTCTGGCGGACAAAAAATGCACAGGTTAGACAACTACAGAGAAAGTTGAGTAATGTTCGCTTCGCCTGTGCAGGCAAAGCGACTGCAATGGAAAATGGCCTTTAAGTATTGTTTAATAAACGAGCAGGAGTGTTTTATTAGGTTTAAAGCTTAGACCTAATAAAACGTTAAAACGGTTAAAGTTTAGACCTAATAAAACACGACCTGCAAGTTTATTGAACGGCTTCAAACACAACTTCACATTTGATAGATATACTGCCTTATTAGTATTTTTTATATAAAAAATAAAGAATACTAATTAGGAGTGTTTTATCAGGTTTAAAGCCACTGCATGTGACATATTATGGTTGAAATGATTTGCCAATAAGCTTATGAATTATTAATGAGTGTTTGAAGTGTATATTATGTATAGTGAGGCTCCCAGGCCAAGGAAGTATTGGTGACGTAATCAAGGCTCATTAAAATTTTTTGTGTGAACAAAATTCAAAATATGCCTGCAAAATGCATCTTACAGTATTTTTAAATTTTGTGACCTAAACAGTGTTAAAAATTCAGAATTTTAAAATATGCCTGCAAAAATTCAAAAAGTGCCTGTGAGCAGCATTTGTACACTTGTGTATTTTAGTGAAGGATGAACATATAATTGCAAATTAAACTAAAAATTGTTCTAAATTTCATTGCAGTTGTTCTGTAGGATGTTACAAGACACACAAAGGTATATTTTCAGAATTAAAGTAGCTGTAGTTATTGGGGGAATGTTTCACTTTCCACATATAAACTCCCAGTCCTCACCTGGATTTGCTTGCATAAACTGACCACAGGATCCCTTAATTTATATTAATAACAATAAAAACTAATATACCTTTCAATATCCTGTTATTCAATTCAAGATAATTTATGTAAGGAAATAAGACCACCACAAGAAACAGTTTGCAATATGGTCACAAATGGCAGTTTTGTAACTAAAGGTAAATTTACTAGTTTAAATAATTAATACCATACTTAGTAACTGTTTGAATGGTGAGGTGTTAGCCTGGTTGACAGAGGGCCAATTGTTATTAATGATCACCCCTTGAGTTGGCTTAGCGTGGGGTTGTTCTTTTGAAACTTGTTCAATGGCAAGATCGCACGAGGCTTTGTTCACAGACTTGACCCCTTTTTTCCAGCAAACTCAAGGTTCTTCAATCAAAACAACTGGAGAACTTTTTTTTAAACTTGTTTCACACTATAATATCATAATGACCTTATAGTACTCACCTTATATTAATTGGTCTAACTTATGTTACAGTCTATAAGAGGAGCATTTTAATGTTCCAAGAATTTTATTATTTTTCAGGCAGAACTTGTTTATATTATTGACACTAGAGCCAACAGATCACGACACTCTTGTATATAAAAAGAGCGTGTGAATTAAACAAGTCACATATTATTAGCACTGATGAAGATCCGGGCTTACGGATCGAAAGCTTTGCAGTAATAAATTTACGTGGTGTTTCCACAAACAAAAACAATTGTTATTGACACTACCTACACTGCAAACAGTTAAGGTTATAAGAGGAGACCCTGCTCTATGGACCTTTGATAGTTTTCTTCTCACGTGCACCTGAGAATTTTGTGTATACTGTACTGCAAGAGTCGAACCCCAGTGTAAACATTCCTATCAAACTCTATATATTTTAGAAATGGAGCCAGGTGAATTGACAGATGATGAATCAGATAATGAGGATAATGTTAGTCAAGAAAAGTTGTCTCTGTTAGGTAAATTATTTGTGTTGTAAAAAGTTACTTCATAAGCTATCAACTAGCCTGCATGCATGTAAACACAATTGTCTTCTGGGGAAGACTTACTTTGCTACTCTGGCTTGATTGAGCTTGTGTAAATGGAGTATATAAAATTATAAATCTTGGACTAGATAAAACTTGAACTACCTCATTCCTAATTCAGTTCTCATTTTATCCCATGTTCTGTAGTACCAGGCAGTTTTACTCATCTTTAATCTTCATATTTCCTACTACCCTTTTAGAAAACTCGCAAACAATTAAAGACATGCTGGTAAACAAACATTTGCAACAAATTTTGAAGACCATTGATAACCATGAAAATGGGGAAAAAGAACTTGATTCTGCTATGCAACTGCCCTTGTTTGCAGAGTTTGCTAATGAATGTTTAAAACTTGTAGATGATAGATTAGAGGAAAGAGCTACACAGCAAGCTTGAAGCATTGTTTTATCAGTGTTTATCATCATGCAAACTTTATACAATGAACCTTTATATCCAGGGCTGTATGTAGGATTTTTTCAACAGGGGGCAGTAAGGCCTGCCCTATATGCCAAGAAAAGTCCAGAATATCCAAAGAATAATTAACAATGACGTTCTAAAAATCATAAATATAGTTTTTTTCTAGGGGTACAGTTGCCCCCTGCCCCCCCCCCCACTGTGTACAGCCCTGTTTAAATAAATTAAAGATGACAATTGACTGTTATATGTTATACTAATAAAGGTGAATTAATGAAGATTACAGAATTTAAACATGTGGGGTGATCCCACAACTAAATCCTACTAAACTAACATATTATATTACAACTATGATGCTTTTTTGTTTTTATTCTATATGGAACAGGTATAAAAATAAATATGCTATAAGACCAGTGTCAGTAATTTAGTTGGCTGGCTCAGTATCATGAGTTTCCATAATATGTAATATAAGTTCTCTGTGCATACCAAACACCACATTACAAATAGAGCAAACGTATCCAACACCAGATGTTTCTGGTTTTTGTAATTCTTGACAAAGAGTGCATTCACAGTGAGGTTCACAATGACTTGTATTTTCTGCACATTCCTTGGAGTTTGATGTCTGTGTATGGCAAGACTCCTCATCACATGGTTTCATAAATTCCATGTTGTTAACATTGTGTTCTGGAAGTATTTCGTCAGTTTGTAATTCAGTCGATCCACTGTCATTTACATCACGTTCAATAGAATTGTCATCAGTGTGTGCTCTTTTATGTTCCATTAGACTTCCTGAACATATAAATCCTTTATGACAAACATCACATTCATAAGGCATATTGACCATATTGGCAGGGTGTGTCTTTTTATGTCTAAGTAAAACACTTGATTGAGCAAATCTTTTCATGCAAATATAACACTCGTAGGGCTTTTCCCCAGTGTGCGTTCGTTTGTGGGAAATTAAAGTACTTGATTGGGAAAATCGTTTCTTGCAAACATCACATTCAAAAGGTTTCTCTCCAGTGTGCATTCTTTTATGTTTTAGCAAATAACCCGATTCCAAAAATCGTTTCTTGCACACATCACATTCATAAGGCTTTTCTCCTGCATGTGCTTTTTTTTGTATGCGTTTTTGGCCAGTGTGTGTTCTCTTATGGCAAGCTAAAGCACTTGTTTGGGAAAACCGTTTCTTGCAAACATCGCATTCGTACGGTTTTTCCCCAGTGTGTGTTCTTCTATGTATTGTCAAATGACTTGATTGTGAAAATCTTTTCTTGCAAACAAGGCATTCATATTTTTTCTCACAAGTGTGCACTCTTTTATGTTGTATCAAACCATTTGAGCCCGGAAATCGTTTCTTACAAACATCACACTCGTAAGGCCTTTCTCCAGTGTGTGATCTTTTGTGTACCACTAAACTACATCGATAAGAAAACACTTTCATACAAACGTCACATTCATATTTTGTCTCGCCAGTGTGCGTTCTTTTATGTTTTAGCAAATAACTCGATTCCAAAAATCTTTTCTTGCACACATCACATTCATAAGGCTTTTCTCCTGCATGTGCTTTTTTTTGTACGCGTTTTTGGCCAGTGTGTGTTCTCTTATGGCAAGCTAAAGCACTTGTTTGGGGAAATCGTTTCTTGCAAACATCACATTCGTACGGTTTTTCCCCAGTGTGTGTTCTTCTATGTATTGTCAAATGACTTGATTGCGAAAATCTCTTCTTGCAAACAAGGCATTCATATTTTTTCTCACAAGTGTGCACTCTTTTATGTTGTATCAAACCATTTGAGCCCGGAAATCGTTTCTTGCAAACATCGCACTCATAAGGCCTTTCTCCAGTGTGTGATCTTTTGTGTACCACTAAACTACATCGATAAGAAAACACTTTCATACAAACGTCACATTCATATTTTGTCTCGCCAGTGTGCGTTCTTTTATGTTTTAGCAAATAACTCGATTCCAAAAATCTTTTCTTGCACACATCACATTCATAAGGCTTTTCTCCTGCATGTGCTTTTTTTTGTACGCGTTTTTGGCCAGTGTGTGTTCTCTTATGGCAAGCTAAAGCACTTGTTTGGGGAAATCGTTTCTTGCAAACATCACATTCGTACGGTTTTTCCCCAGTGTGTGTTCTTCTATGTATTGTCAAATGACTTGATTGCGAAAATCTCTTCTTGCAAACAAGGCATTCATATTTTTTCTCACAAGTGTGCACTCTTTTATGTTGTATCAAACCATTTGAGCCCGGAAATCGTTTCTTGCAAACATCGCACTCATAAGGCCTTTCTCCAGTGTGTGATCTTTTGTGTACCACTAAACTACATCGATAAGAAAACACTTTCATACAAACGTCACATTCATATTTTGTCTCGCCAGTGTGCGTTTTTTTATGGCTTAGTAAATTTCTTGAATCTGAAAATCTTTTCTTGCAAACATCACATTCATAAGGCGTTTCTCCAGTATGTGTTCGCTTATGAATTTTTAAACCCTGCACTTGTAAAAATTGTTTCTTGCAAACATCGCATTCAAAAGGTTTTTTGTCTTCGTGGTGTGTTCTTATATGTTTTATAAAAGCGTTTGATTGGAAAAATTTTTCGTTGCAAACATCACATTCAAACGTTTTGTCAGGGGTATGAGTTTTTTTATGCTTTCGCACGCTACTGGAATATGAAAAGGTTTTCTTGCAAACATCACATTCATAAGGTTTTCCCCCAGTGTGTGTATGAGTTTCTTTATGGTTTCGCAAGCTACTGGAATATGAAAAGGTTTTCTTGCAAACATCACATTCATAAGGTTTTTCCCCAGTGTGTGTTCGTTTATGTACAACCAAGCTACCCGATTGTGTGAATTGTTTATTGCACACGTCACATTCGTAAGGTTTGTCCCCAGTGTGTAGTGTTTTATGTTTTAGTAATTGATTGGATGATAAAAATATTTTCTTGCAAACATCACATTCATAAGGCTTTTTTCCAGTGTGCCTTTTTTTATGTCTTTGTAGGCCATTTGGCTGTGCAAATCTCTTATCACAAAGATCACATATATAAGCTTTTTCTCCAGAGTGTAATCGTTTATGATTGATCAAATTGTATGATTGGGAAAATCGTTTCTGGCAAACATCACATTCATAAGGCTTTTCTTGACTATGTGTTCTGTTATGATTGATCAAATTATTTGAATTGTAAAATGATTTCTTGCAAACACCACTTTCTTGAGGTTTTCCCAAAAGGTGTGCTCTTTTATGGTTTTTAAAATTGATAGATTTGGAAAACCTTTTGTTGCAAACATCACATTCGTAAGACTTTCCTCCAAGGTGCTTTCTTTTATGTTTTAGTAGGCCATTTGGTTGTGCAAATCTCTTATCACAAAGATCACACAGATAAGCTTTTTCTCCACAATGTAACCTTTTATGATTTATCAAATTGTGTGATTGAGAAAATCGTTTCTGGCAAACATCACATTCATAAGGCTTTTCTCCAGTATGTGTTCTGTTATGATTGATTAAATTACTTGAATTGCCAAATCTCCTCTTGCAAATATTACACTCATATTTTTTCTCACCAGTATGCACACTCTCAGATTTCGTAGTATCCATGGGAAATTAATACGCTAGAAATCGATCAAGTAACAAGAATGAGAATGATCCCTGGGCAGAAATGTTTGGGATGGGCAAATGGGTGGAGATGTCTGGAACATAAAGAATCATTTACAACGCACAGCAGGTGTGGTATTTTTATAAAAACTCCCTATCAAAAAAATTAGGGTAGGTAGGTCGGAAATAATTTTTTTTGAATATTTTTTCATGGTTTTGCCGGGGGTTTTTGCGGGGCAATCTTCAGTACAGCCCCAACATCAATATTAACTAGAGATGCGTAGTTCCTATGGATGAATTTAGGCAATTTGGTTCAATAATTATTGTGACAACAGACGCCATTTTGCCACGCTGTATGAGCAGCCCGCGACCACCCGGAGAAAATAGGGTCACACTGTCAATCACTTTGAAAAAATAATAGGGTCGGCAGAAAAAATAGGGTCGGTTGGGAAACCTGAACCACAGGTATTTTTTATCACATAAAAGGTGCAAAATTTAATCATCACATAAAAGGTGCGAAATTTAAATTTTATCATGGTATTTGCCAATAAATTGGTAACCGCTAGTGTTACAGAAAAACAGAACAAATTACAGTAAATCACAACAGACTACAGGAGCGGGACAGTCTTGACTATATTTTGTACCTTGATGAGTAAAATCATCTTACAATTAGACAGAGTAGAATAATCTGGCATTAGACAGGGTAAAATAAAAAAACTAGGGTGCATTGCCCGCCAAACAGCCAGCCTGCTTTCCAGGGGCGTAGGAACCGGGGGGCACATGTCCCCAAAGTGCCCTTTTAAAAGTGCCCTTTTTTGTGGTGAAAAGTGCTCTTTTTTGTGATGAAAAGTGCCCTTTTTGTACAAGCTAATGTCACTGTAAATACTAAATTAACATCAAAGGTGCCATTTTTGTTTGGAAATTTCCAAGTTTTTAAAAAAAAATTGGTCAAAAACGTGCAATTTCGGTATGGTACAACGGAAAAAATGTTCTCTTCCCCCCCCCCCGCCCCGTCACCAACAATTCTGGGAAAAATTTTTAGGTGCCCTTTTCAATACCCTGAAGTGCTCCTAGAAGCCGGTGCTCCCCCAATCTTTTGATGCTTCCTATGCCCTGTTGCCTCAGTAGCAAATAGCAATTGTTCCGAGTATTTTGTAAAGAGGCCAAGAATTGCTTCATTACAGAAGACTGACGTAGCCGGGGAAGTGTAACCGCCGCCAACACCATGATTTGTCATCAAAATGCACTTGCCATGTTCTCAGCCAGTGTGCTTACAAGAGGCATTCATCCCCTGAACATACACTATTTTGAATATTTTCAGCATTGCAATGGTTATGCCAAAATCAAGAAGTTGGTTGGCTGTATGGTCTCTAATGGTCATATTACAGTCAAAATACAAGAACTTTCCCACTTCCACAGTCTGTTGACATTTTCTGTAATTTGCTCTGTATTACTAATGCATCTATCATTGTTTTCCCC